ACACACACACACACACACACACACACACACACACACACAGACATTATACTTCCTGATAACATTTCAGTCATATACATGATCATGTATTTTTACATAATCAGGCTTTTTCCTCATGTACCTGTAGTGTCAGTACTGTGGTTCAAAGGCAGTTCCACACAGGTGTCATCTATTTGTGGGTCATGTGGTTGTAACAGCGGCTTAAAGGAAACAGCAACACACTGACCAGCCATACAGGAACGCTGATAAAAATCCACAACTTTCTTCCTGCACATGCACACACAAAAATATTTTAAAAGAAACTCTATTTTAATAGAATTTCTTTGAAAAAAAAACTATTTGAAATAAATGCCGTTTTTATTCATCAAAGAATACTAAGCAATATCACCACAAAAAACATTAAACAGCACAACTGTTTTTTTAACACAATAAGTAATGTTTCTTGAGCAGCAAATTAGCAAATTAGAATGATTTCCGAAGGACCATGTGACTATAGTCTGTACTAATGGCTGTTGAAAATTCAGCTTTGCATCACAGGAATTAATTTTTTGAATATAATAAAACAGAAAACAGTTAATTTAAATTGTAATTATACTTCACAACATTACTGTTTTTACTGTATTTTGGATGAAATTTTTGAAAACTTCTTTTAAATCTTATTGAATACCAACCCTAAACTGACATATAATACACAGTAATAATATTGATATTTATTAAAAGCATGCATAAAATATAAAAATTAGATGAAGTTTCTATATTTTTATATTATTATATATTATATATTTTTCTAATTTGATATTTCATTGATTTAGTTTCTATTTCAGTCTAACAAAGCCCTTGCAGTTCCATCTGTGCGCAACACAACAAAGTTCAGCTTCATGCAAATAAACCGTGATGCAATGCGACTAGAAGTGGACTGCATTCAAATAGGAACGCCTGCTAGCACCGACTTGGCAACCTCCAGGGGTTTAATCGCTGTCAGTGTGAATGTACCTTTAGAGATTCAAGATTTGGACTTGTAATCTGAAAGCTGATGATTCAAACTGCCCGAAGAAGTGTTTTATTAACGGAGAAAATAGTGAGATTCCCTAACACCTCTGTGTCCTTGAGCAAAGCACTTAACCCTAGATGCTCCAGGGGGACATGCCAGCATTAAATGTGCTTTAGATAGGAACTGCTCACTGACTTTCTAAGAGCAGCAGGATGAAGCAGAAACACATACAGAGTTCACAGCATGAATCTACATAGAAGTCAGACCTGTCGGAGTCTGTGAGGGGTTGTATATCCTCTCCATCCCAGAATTCAGTGCATGCACCCAAAATTACGTCAGCCGAGCCATATGAGAACAACTGAAGATCACCTTGGGACAAAAACATCAAATTGTACTCTATATGAAACTTGCTAGACAGAAACAGAATATTAGATAATTTGTGACATTATTAAACTGTGGATCTCAAACATATTTACTGTAAGCTGTACGGAATAACATTTCTGTCATGACAACTCTCGGAGGGATTGGCATGGTAATGTACATGACAATGTTAATGTATTTGGTCTTGGCGGAATAGATCTGCTACGCTGCTGCTGCGGCAGAGCAAGTACCGAGACTTGCTACTGCCAATACATCCACAACATGCTGCTGTAAGCATGTAAGAAATATTGCTGCTGCAAATATAACATACATGAAATAACCCCCATATAGCATACATGAATCACCTCGAAGCAGATCTATACAGGTGGAGCTGGGGATGGTGAAGGGTTTCTGAAGCAGGCTGCAACTGCTACGGCAAGCACTAGTCATATATTTGAATGTTGAGCAGCGAGCTCATTGGCTACCGATACAGCAGAGAACCAATCAGCTGTGCCATGTGATAATGATGTCATTAGGTCAGATTGAGTTAGACCTATCGGACTGCGCCATCTAGAGTTTCATGCCAGAACTCTGTATATGACTCATACCATCTTACTGCATACTAGGCCCTGTCCCAAATGGCACCCTAAACCCTCACGGTCTCCCTCAGAGTCCGCACTTTCGTGACGTAATGCCGTTTTATCCGGGTAGAAGTCGGCTGCGTAGCTCGCAGGCTTGCGGGCTCAGCAGAAGTGCAGATCGAGGGCGCATAGCGGCCACAAAGGGGGTGCTCGTGAGCACCCTTCTGAAAGCTAAAATGACAAATGGGACACCCTACGGCAGGGGTCGGCAAGTAAGTTTGGCTTTTTTTCCTACCACATGACAAGCTAATAACATGGTTGTCAGCATTACAAGGTATAATCGCTGCTTTTTGCAGTGCAAATTTTGTTTGTGATGAAAATAACAGTACGTTTTCGTCAGTTATTTTACCTACGGATCGCTGCATTTCTTACAGATTTCTGCTCATTCGAAATCGGATGCAGATGAAGTAGCACTGTATAAGCTTACATTTGTTTGAATGCATTATTGAGAGAGCGATTGCGTGTGAATAAGTGTTGTACCTGTTTAAATCATGATTTCACCTGAAAATATTCAGTATCTAGAGGGAACAAACAAATTCCTTAATAACTACCCTATAACTTCCCGCTATATCCATTGCCGTCAACATAGCCTTCACATTCTTTCTGATTCGAGTACTCCTTCTCTATCAAGCTAGCTAAATATGTTTAACATGTGAATCCTTGCTAAATATGCAGTTATATTCCGGGCTGTTGGCATGAATTGTACTCGTGATGGATCGGTGGTGGAGCGCTCTTGGAGCGAGTG